TATTGTTTGATTTCTACATGATTAAGTTAATACAAATTTGAATTGTTTGTTTGTTTAGAGAAGGGATATTTTTGGTTCTTGGGAGCAATATCTTGGTCTGGAACACACTGTCAATGCTCCAAAAAGGTCTTACGCAGTTAACCAGGTAAATGTTGGGGAGTGGCTTCTTTCTGTCTTTTGGGAGATTCCCCAATGTAGCTGTGTGGATGGTATATGCACTAAGTCTTAAAAAGAAACCAAAATGTGGATCTAGCATGCAGTCATTCAAAATTTAGGGTAGTTAAAATAATAAAATATTTACAATTTATATACAAAAAGAAAAAGTTATTACTTCTATGCATGGTTATTTGAGTATATTCTGTTACCTCTATCCTCTAAGAAAATATACAACATAGAAATAGACTTATTTGAGAATAGTTCAGTTAGTTAAACTGTGAGAGCAATCTAGAAAATATAATAGAGAAAAGCGCACGGAAGAAGGCAAGCTATATGTTCTAAAATTACTTTTTCAGTCTCACCCTTAAACTCTAACATGACTATATAACTTTTACACTTTAGTATTGGACATACTTGCTGGGCAAATTGGAGAGACATACCTCAAGCTCATCTTTTTAGAGGAGCTAATTCTCAAATTAAGTAGATAGGAAGTTTAGAATCATACGGTTTCACCAATATAGATGTACCCAAGGTATATGCAATGTAAGATCGAGCAAGGTGAAACTAAGGATCACATTAAATCACATGTTCCATGGTTTAGTTATCTTGGATCCGTTTGCGAAGTGACGGGGATATTAATAAGAATGTTAAACAAGATGCAAGGTGGGTGAATGAAATTGTGTAATAAATAGTTCATTATGAACATGAGGGAAAGTTAAACCAATCTTGTGACTTGACACATATGCCAATGATTGAAACTTTTAATAGGATTAAGCTAGTTGCCATTGCAAACTTGTTATTATGGCGGTATCTTTAGGTGTTTTGTGAAAAATACTTAAAAGAAATGATAGTTTGATACACATAAATTTTTTATATTTATATGATACTACTCTTTTTTATTTTTTATTTTCTTTATTTTTGAAGAATTATAAAAATTCACTATTTTATAATCATTTTGTCGTTGTTACGTGTGTCATGATAGTACTCAATACTGAAAGACAGAATTACATATCTTCTAAAATAAACAATATAAGATAATGTTAATCTTTAATACAGAGACGAGTATTTAGTTCCTATAGCTCCATGATATATCTTTTCTCTCACTAAAACATTCATAGATGAATTTTATTTTACATTTATATCTACAACTTTTGATAATACAATTGGAAAGAAAAGAAATTATCGCATTTGCACTGGATATCCAAATGCAACACCGGCTGCATACAAGTCACTGAAAATAATTTTATGTGCAGGTTCCAGCTGTCTACAACGATCATTTCTCAAATATCCAGAACCGTCACGCAATTGAGAAGCCTGTAAAAATCTACAACTAATCAATCTATGAATCAGTATATAACACCTTATGGCAGTGACACTTACAGTTTTATGAAGTGATGACAGAAGTGTAGATTCAATCTTTGTCAATTTGTAGCTTCATCATTACTTAGGGGGATAGGTGTATAGCTTGATCTGTCTTTCCTGGTAGTTAAAACTCAATAACTCCTCGTCTCTTTGGTTTTAATTCCTTTGTAAATAATAAATAATAAGATTTTGGGTTGGATTTTTGTCTTTGAATTATAGCTATACTTAATTTCTGGGCCTTCTATTACATTACAGGCTTGTTACTGTATACAACTACACTTTAAACTGATATGTTTAAACTCACCTGCAACATTTTTCAACAAACTAACTTCACCCCTTGATGAATAGTTTAATTTATTTTCACCCAAAACCTTTCTAAGAAAAGATAAAGTATTAACTCTTAATGCAATTTTTTTAAGATAAAAGAGTAGTTTTAACATAATTTATGACAGGTAAGTTTTCCATGTTTTCTATCAGAATTCTATTCAACATACACTATAATAACCTTTCACGAAACAAGTTTATTTCTTTTACGTTTAAAATCTATTTCCAAATTCTTTATAACTTTCACATGAGAAGCTATTTTTGTGCAACGAATTAAACAATACAAACAAAACATGTTCAATTACAATAATGGCAATGGCATTTTAGAAGAACGGTTGAAAATGTCTTTTTTTTATTATAAATTATATATATATACTGTCATTTTTCTTAAATAAAAAAAAATGCATATCAGCATATCAAATCAGACTACACAATCTATAATTAATGTATGTAAACATGTTTCAACTTTCTTGAACTCAAGATATCTCCTTGGTAATATTTATACGTCCAATGCCTCGTGTTTTAAAATTTACTAATAGGAATAATCTTTTTTCAACTATGCCCTTTCCTACAAAAAAAAAAAAACAAATATGTATATGAATCAATTATTTTACAACATGTTTAAAACAAATATGTAAAAAATGAAAAGTATTTGATAGCAGAAAAATAAAATATAATACAATATGATTCGTTATTTTTAAAAATTATTTTTCGATTCACTTTCTTCAATCAAACAACTTTATCTTCTATTTAGTCGAAGTTATTTTCATCCTTAAATAAAACAATTTCATATTAATATCCTAATTTAATAAATTTACACTACTAACTATACTATTACACTCTAGGTATTAAGCAATAGACCATTACATAAACACTTCATGCATCTTAATGATACATTTTTCAAAAATATATAAAGTTTTCCAACAAGAGTCAATACAATATAAAATTATATACATATGTATCAACTTGTCTTGCTCTAACTATCAAACAATATCACTATTTCACGACCCTCCTACCTGTACAATCTTTATGTATAACATTAGATAAACCACGACCAAACACATAAAGAGACATATAAATGAATCAAATGATTAGTACAAGCAATTATATATAACTATTTCATTTAAAGATATACAATTATATTTACAAACTATAGCGATTATCTTTGGATGACTTTTCGTATATTAATTCAAACTTTAAAGATTTTACACTTGTTATAAGGATTAATAGATTTTGATTTCTAATATCATGACTTTACCCTATCTTCCTACTTGACAATATTAGCTCACCTATAATAAACCAGAAAAGTTATATTTCAAACTAATTTCCGTCATAAAAATTTTCATCAACTCTTATTAATAAATATTTTTCTTTTTGTGAGTTAATGTACTTTTGATATATGTTAAAGTTAAATTATAATTTTGTTTCTTTTTTCTTAATACTGTGTAATTTAAACCTATTTGTACTTTTTCAATTTGTATTTTGAAAAAAAAGAGTTTAATACCGAATTTTGTATTAATTTATTTTTTTATATTTATATTTTGATTGACTAACTATTTTTAATAATTATTCAGGTAAATATATTTCTAACGTTTAATTGGTTAAATATATATATATATATATATATATATATATATATATATTGAAATAGCTGAAAAATGAAATCACATATTAAAAATAAAAAAGGCTAAAGCTATAATTTAGGCTATTTTTAGAAAAGAAAATTGTATATGTACACCTTTTACTTTTTCTATACCTATCCAACATCTATTAAAAGCTAATATTTTTTAATTTTTTTAATTGTTCTTAAATTAATTTTTATTTAAAAATATAATCTTGGTTAGTGTTAAATAAATGTAAAGTAAATAAATGCAGATACTTCTTCACCCTTTTAAATAAGCTTACTTGACTGAATATAGTTATCCGTTCAAACACGAGGGCAAGGGAAAAGAACAAAAAGCATCACACCAGATGGATTCATGATTTAACGGTACGTTGGTTGCATAAAAGGATTTAAAATCTTGTCTGTCTCACTTTCAAACGAATGGTACAAGACAACAAGACAGTTTCTCTCCCTTTCCCAGATCTACTTACCATGTTATTCTGTTCTGTCACTCACCATTTGATGGTTTAACTCTACTCACCCCTCACCGCAACATAACTTATTATGCACCTTCCTCCTCTCTCTTCTTCTTCTACTTCACTGTGCCAAGTTGAAACTTTAAGCGAAACCAACCCCCCATTTCCCATTTGGTGATAATCGATCAATGGAGTTCACTGAATCTTACAAGCAAACGGGTCCCTGTTGTTTCTCTCCCAATGCTCGCTTTATCGCCGTCGCCGTTGATTACCGCCTCGTCATTCGGGAGACCATTTCCTTCAAGGTTTTGTTTTTTGTTACCCCTTTAACAACACTGCTTCAATTTTCAATCTTTATTCTGTGGCTGCAGTCTTTGGAGTTTTGAATTTCTGGAACTTAGGTTTTTGGGACACTTATCGGAGACCCAGTTTATGAATTTCAACTTTTGGGAACTTGGGACTCGTGGCAAGGAACGGGATCTGGGGGTTTTCTTTTGTTTTTATGGTTTGTTGGTTATTCTGTTTCATGCACGAGTATGAAAAAAAAACATTTTTTTTATAGTTTTGCATGTGCATATTTCTGATGAGTGGAGTTTTGGTAATGGGTTTCTTTTAGAGGCAAAACGTGACGGTTCTTTCTTCGGTACTTAGATTTGTAGGAAAATAAAAGGGGGTGATGTCCAGTGGAGCGTGGTGATTTCTGTATAAAGAAGTTGTTGTTTTTACTTGAACTCAACTACACACTAGCTATCGTGAAAATTGATGTTTTAGATTTTCATACCGGTATCAGAATTTTTACAGACACATGAGGCAGTTTAATAGTGTCTTTGAAAAATTCAGGCTTAGGAAGAGAAGCACTAAATTTGACCGTAAAATGATTGTATGGAGGTAGGTAGACTTTAAATTCCAGAGCTTTTTAACACTTCATTGCGATGGTTCCTGCTCTTTGGATCCAAATTCCAAGATGGACTGAATGAACCGTGCGTCTGAATTAAGGGATAGTATAAGTTTAAATGTAACTTGGGAACACATATAGTAGTATGCCATATTTCCTAGTAGTTTATGAGGAATAAAATTTTCAGTCTTCCAAAACCATAAATCAGTCAGCTCGTAATCAAATTATTCACCTTGATTGTTGTTATGTCTAACTGTACTTCACCCGGGCTTACCATATGCTCTTTCTATTCTAAATTGTAATTGTGATGTGAGTGCATTTGTTGCTGTTTCTCGACTTGATTAATGATACGCCTTTCATACTGTCTAGAGATTTAGTTAAAATTGAGTATTAAACCGAGTACAAGATCACCATATATGAGTTGTTTTTGTAATGTTGAATTAAACTTAAACTCATTTTTTAAGATGGTTTGGAGTTTATCCAAAATAAGTTTGTTAAACATATTGTGTCACTCATTATCGATCACTCACAAATATCTTGTTCAGACGGGGTTGTGTAAGAGATTCCACATTATGTACATATATAACTAAAATACAATATATAAGTAGGTGCAATAGGCTTGTAAAATTAAACTAGATTTAAACCTACATTCTAAGAACTACTTAATGCATTAAAGTACAAGCTTATTCTTGAAAAAAGAAATATATACGGATTGTTTATCAATGATGTATACTAAAAAGCATGGGTACAGAGACACTCAAAGAGTTTCTTTGGGACTATTCTCTTGGTTTTGATGTGATCTATTCTAGTTATGCACTTTGGTGTTAAGTGCATTTCCTCGTAACTCACTGATTATGATGTTTTATTCTAGCTATCAGCCTCAGTTCATGGTTTACAATCATTCTTTTCGGTGCATGCAGGTTGTGCAGTTGTTTTCATGCTTGGACAAAATTAGCTATATTGAATGGGCCCTTGATTCAGAATATATTCTTTGTGGTCTTTACAAAAAGCCAATGATTCAGGCTTGGTCACTAACCCAACCAGAATGGACATGCAAGATAGATGAAGGACCTGCTGGTATTGCATATGCGAGGTGGAGTCCAGATAGCCGCCACATACTCACCACTTCTGATTTCCAGTTGCGTTTGACTGTTTGGTCATTGTTAAATACAGCTTGTGTGCATTTACAGTGGCCAAAGCATGCTTCCAAAGGAGTTTCTTTCACACGAGATGGAAAATTTGCAGCAATATGTACAAGGCGTGATTGCAAGGACTATATAAATCTGTTATCTTGTCACACATGGGAAATAATGGGCAATTTTGCTGTTGACACTCTAGATTTGGCTGATATTGAATGGTCTCCTGATGACAGTGCTATAGTGATATGGGATTCGTCACTTGAGTACAAGGTAACCATTATTTGTTCTATTTTTCTTTTCTATCCCTCTTAACATGTGAAATATTATGATTTAACATAGGCTTAAATATATTTTTAATCCAGGTAAAATTAGTGATTTTTAATTTTAGACCCTTCAAAAAAATTTCTTTGGTTTTCTTCCTCAAAAAGTTGAAATTTTGCTTTTGTCCCTAAAGGTCAACTGGTCATCCAAGGTAACACTCATGAGTGTCTGTGGTACATTGCCTAGAGTAATATTGATGCAGTCAGTCAGTTTCAAACTCTAGTTTCCAAACTCAAGCTGGTTATTAGTCCCACTGCACTTAAGTTTGAGAGGGTGATGCTAGAGTAATTAGTGCGATTAAAGATTTCCACTATTATCATCATTAAAGTACATGCATTTGATTATCAAAGTTTCATGCATGTCATATACCGCAATATACAATCTATCACAATTTAGTGTTAATTATACTCTGTTGCTTTTGTATAACCCACTGGTTATGCTATAAATTATTGTTAGAA